GGGGGGAGGGGGATTTCGTTGCTGACATGTGACCACTTTTGTAGCTGGGAATCTTAGTTCTTTCAACTTTTTTTGCTTTAAATTTCTTGCAATATAAAGCTTCATTTATAGCCTACCAATGCTTTTATGGTTGAAATATTATGGTTACAGCTTTGTTACACAGTTATTCAGCTGTCATTCGAGAGCCTTCAGAAATTATTGGGGGAGGGGGGAGGTGCCCCCGGTACCTCCTAGTATCCGCATGCTACTCTGAGTGTATATATTTTATATATACTTACATATTTTGTCTTATATTTAAGTTTGCAAGAATCTTACACTTGGAGCAATATTAATGCATGTGTACATAACATCATTATTGGACAATTGTGGATTGAACAGGTAACTAAGGGGGTTTGAAAGGATAAGTATCGGTAATGTTCTCCCTAGAGGTCTAGTAAAGAGCCATCTCTTACTCACCTTACTCGGTGTTCCTACAGTTGAAAATCGGCGTACCAGGAGAGAACCTGCTGTGTTCGGTAGAGTCAAACTGGAAGCACTCTTCTCACATGGGACTGGGAGGAAATTATAATCCGACAACTACATATTGCAGGAAATCAATCCTCGTTCACAGAGACGAAAAACACATGCCCTAACCACTGTGTCACATCCTTACTTTGAAGTAAAAGTTTGAAGCAAATAATGTATGTCCTCTGTGTTACAGTATGGTCAAATGGAGATCATTAATCATGCTCATGGTGTGAAATGTGTCGTCAACTTTAAACCTTGTGGCTGGTTTGGCCGGGAGGCAAATAAAATTGAAGCCACTATCTATAATAAGAAGTATGGAAATAAGTAGTTTATTTACACTAGACAGCTCTATCAGCTCTATTAGAACTGTTCTCAATAGAGGTCCAGTAACAGATGTTTCAGAGACCTGACTCGGTGTTAAACACGGTTCGTACAAAACTGGAATGTCCTTGAAATTCGAAGACAAAAATTCAAGGCCTTGAATGTCTTGGAATTTGTAAAGAAGTGCTTGAAAGTCATTGAATTTTTCTTGCTTTAGTTTTTGGATATTTTTTGAAATTGTTTGACATTCAAAAACGGCCATTTTGTTGAATTTATTTTGCGTGTTCATATCTGACAAAGCTGTTTGAAACTCATTAAAGTTGCGTTTTGAACATTTCAACGTCAGATTTTACTGATTTCTAACCCCTTCTCTTCAGTATTTAGTGCTTGAATTTGATGATACATTGAAAGTCTGAATATCCTTGGAAAGTCCTTGAATTTGACTCTCACTCTCACGAACCCTGGTGAAAGACTGAGTCAGTTTCCTCAAACATTTCTTACAAATCATTCAACATTTAGAATTTACCTGTGTAAAATTCCTACTGTGGTCACAGAAACTTTGATAGTGTAAAAAACAAGCCTTAACATATTCTCAAATCTACGTTATCCAGAGGCGAGAAGGAATACATTCTGCAAGGTGATTGGACAGATCAACTGTACGGTTACCCAGTAAAACGTAAATCAAAACCAGAACACGATTACAAGACTGCTTCAATGGGTTCAACGACAGGCAGCACACTCATAGCTCCGAGTATTTCCAGCACCAGCGCTGATAGCTCAGATGATGATGAATATGATGACTGTCGAGTTCTCCTCTGGAAAGTCAACCCCCGGCCACCTAACTCCAAAGAGGTAAACTTGATGTGATAAGCTGATGTTCAGGGGGGGGCACAATTCAGTTCTCCTCTGGAAAGTCAACCCCCGGCCACCTAACTCCAAAGAGGTAAACTTGATGTGATAAGCTGATGTTCAGGGGGGGGCACAATTCAGTTCTCCTGTGGAAAGTCAACCCCCGACTATCAAACTCTATGGAGGCATAGCTAGGCTGTTATTAGAGTTAAAGGCATAGGCTGACATACAGAGACGGACATGACTCCAATTTTCTATAGAGTGAACCCCCCGGCCATGAAACTTTAAGGAGGTGAAGTTAACGTTATAGTTTGACTTTCAGGGGGGGGGAACACGACCCCAGTTCTAAACATTTTCTCATATTTTTAGATGTACAACTTTACGTCGTTTGCGATGCAATTGAACGAGCTGCATGAAGATCAAGCTGAAAGGGTGAGTAGACGACGCAATCTTTCTGTGCAAGAAAATATTTTTGTCTCATGAAACGTGTATTTTTCAGCTTCCTCCAAGCGATGCTCGACTGAGACCAGATGTTCGCGCATTGGAAACATTAGATATAGGTATGCCATTCAGTATTCTACAATAGCCTTCGGGCAGTAGGGCATCTGGCACCCTCTTAACCCCGCGCCCCATAACAATGTTGTGTGATATTGTATCTTAACTTAAATAGACAGTGCAATACGTTCTCAATGAAAACATGATGTCATGCTGCAACATTGCTTAGGGGGGAGGGGGTATATTGGACTATTTTGGATCATTGAATTTTTGACAATGTTTTGTCAATGATTGTAGCTCTAGTCTCATATAGATCCGTTATCCTCTTAAAAATCTTTGAACGTTGTCCTCTATCCCTTGTCATATCCTTAATCTTTCATTCAGATTATGCTGCCCTCTATCCTGTCATATCCCTATTCTTTCATTCTGATTATGCTGAAACGTTGCCCTCTATATCCTGTCGTATCCCTATTTCATTCAGATTATGCTGCTGATGAAAAAAGGAGACTGGAAGAAAAACAACGAACGGCCAGGAAAGAACGAAACAAAAAAAAAGAGGATCATGTCGCCAGGTAAAACATTTTTTATTTAATTTTCTTTTGAAGTCAAAGTTTGGATGTTAGTTAGTACAGGTCTTTCACCCTGTCACTGAGGTTTGATTCCTGCAATATGCTGCTGTTCTCATTATAATTTCACCTCAGTCACATGTGAGAAGAGTGATTCCAGTTTGATTCTACCAAACTCCACAGGTTTTCTCTTGGTATTCCAGTTTCCTCCTGTAGGATCAATAAGAGATGATCCTTACTGGACCTCTAGGAAGAACAGTTTAGAACTGATAGAGCTATCCAGTATAAATAAAGTTAGTTTAGTTTAGGTTTCCTCCTGTAGTAACACTGGATCAATAAGAGATGATCCTTACTGGACCTCTAGGAAGAACAGTTTAGAACTGATAGAGCTATTCAGCATAAATAAAGTTAGTTTAGTTTAGGTTTCCTCCTGTAGTAACACTGGATCAATAAGAGATGATCCTTACTGGACCTCTAGGAAGAACAGTTTAGAACTGATAGAGCTATCCAGTATAAATAAAGTTAGTTTAGGTTTCCTCCTGTAGTAACACTGGATCAATAAGAGATGATCCTTACTGGACCTCTAGGAGAACAGTTTAGAACTGATAGAGCTATCCAGTATAAATAAAGTTAGTTTAGTTTAGGTTTCCTCCTGTAGTAACACTGGATCAATAAGAGATGACTCTTACTGAACCTCTAGGAAGAACAGTTTAGAACTGATAGAGCTATACAGTATAAATAAAGTTAGTTTAGTTTAGGTTTCCTCCTGTAGTAACACTGGATCAATAAGGGATGATCCTTACTGGACCTCTAGGAAGAACAGTTTAGAACTGATAGAGCTATCCAGTATAAATAAAGTTAGTTTAGTTTAGGTTGCCTCCTGTAGTAACACTGGATCAATAAGAGAAAATTCTTACTGGACCTCTAGGGAGAACAGTTTAGAACTGATAGAGCTATCCAGTATCAATAAAGTTAGTTTAGTTTAGGTTGCCTCCTGTAGTAACACTGGATCAATAAGAGAACATTCTTACTGGACCTCTAGGGAGAACAGTTTAGAACTGATAGAGCTATCTATAGTGTAATGATTCAAATACAATTTCTATGTTAAGGTGGTTCAAAGAGGCGCCCAATCCATACAATGGACAAATGGACTGGCTATTTACCGAGCAATACTGGGAACGAGACTTTAGTAAATGCCCGGATATATTTTAATATCAGCACGGCACACCCAGAAATTATTTTGAAATATTTCAATTGCAATGAAATGGTGTAGGAAATTTTGATACAACACTCCTTTCCCCTGGCGTTACAGCGTAGCAGATGCTGGCCAACTTCACAAATGTTTACACTTACAGGAGAAAATTAAACTGCATCTCTCAATTCTATAGATATTTTGCCACCAAATACAAGACTACTACATAAAAGGGAAAGAACAGGGCCTCGGAGGGGGGGGGGGATTGTCCCGGGGCACAGATTACTACACAGAAATCCATCTCCATTGTTTTTTGCGTATTGCGTTATTCGTCATGATTCGTCACTCAGCAAGTACCGTAAACAGAAGCAGTCACCCCCCTGGACGTACGCCGTTTTTAGTATTTTCAGGGGGGACTACTTCTGTTGACGGTACTTGCTGAGTGACGACGAATCATGGCGAATAGAGCTTAGGCAAAAAAAAACAATGGAGATGAACTTCTGTGTAGTGTTCTGTGCCCGGGCCCCCACCTTAATAGGGCTCCAACTTGAGAGCGAGAGCCTAAAATTGAGTAGGCTTTTTGAAATTGAGGGCCCCTTAAAACTCTAGTTGGGTAACTGACATGGGTTTAGCTTAAAAATAATGATGTCATGGGGCTCCCAGAGAAGATTTGCCCTGCCCCCCTCCCCCCCGCGAATTCTCTCGGCGGCCCTGGAAAAAAATTAACAATTATTTTCTCACTCTGATAACTGCAGGTTGACCAACATCTGCTGCTGCTTAGCGAATATTAATTATGTAGACCTTTATTCAGGGCGAGACTTTTTTATTTATTGGTTTACGGATTTGATTTTTAAAAATAAGAGGTCGGTAGGTCGGAAAAAATTTTTAAAAAAACGAACTGAGTATAAATGAAAACCGAAATTAATAATCTTTATAAAAATTGTTAACGTCAATTTCAAAAAAAAAAACGCAAAAAACGTGGCTAATCTACATATTGTCACAACGATAACATGAGCCAGCAGTACTTAGAGTCAAAGTTACTTGAAGTGTACTTCATGTCAGAACCCCAAATTAATTAAAAATTTTAACTAAAATTGTAAAATTTTTGACATCCAAATTTTTTTTTTATTTTTCACTTTCTGAATATTTACGGTCGGCGGATTCGTAAACCAATGAATAAAAAAAGTCTCGCCTTATAGAACCGCGCTTTGTAAGACTAGCAATTATGCTATCTTACCAAAAGGGCCGCAGTCGCTATGTTGCATCAACGCTTGTGTAAATTGCTGCTGAAGCACTGCTGCTTTCCTTAGTAGACAATCAGTGAAGTAAATATTATGCAATTGAAAATTATTAAAATTTGTGTACAATCTGATCAATGATCATCTAACATGTTTAATGTTTAAAGACTTTAAATAGAAATTGTTTTTTAATCTTATTTCCCGAAGGTGGGAAAATCGTGAAACAGAAACCATTCTGAAAAACTCTGTTGGAAACAAAATACATTCCTGAATTTTTTTGGGAAATATTCTTGTTTTCTGGGAAGCAAATTTTGGTGGCCAACAAAATCTCTGTGCAACATTTGAAGAAACATCAGATAACCTACACTGGACCACCACGTTTGAGATATCTTTTTCAGGTAGTTCAGACACAAACCACGACAGCTTATTGTAGAATACTACGTACACTGGACCACCATGTTTGAGATATCTTTTTCAGGTAGTTCAGACACAAACCACGACCGTTCATTGCAGAATTCTACCTACATTAGACCCCTATACGTTTGAGATATCTTTAGTCCATCACAAAGCACGACAGCTTATTGTGGAATACTTTTGAGATATCATCTTTGAAATTGCTTTGTAAATCGCAAGAACTGCAGCGGCTACTTGTAGGGAGCGCATTAACGCGCAATTAATACAATAGCGCGTGCGTCATTTGGCTTGCATTGTCTTGTCGTGTGCATTTTCCCTTCAATTTGCGTGGGAGTCAGAAGGCGACGTCTTATAATAACAAAGACAGACAACCGATAGGCTGAAGTTTGACCCGAATTGACATCGGTGCTAATGTGCTACGAGAACAAACCTATCTTGGGCATCTTCGACAATTTTTGACCCACATTTGAGGGTTTTTAAACTGAAATCCATGGCTACATGCGCTTAAATATTTGTAGTTTCATTAATCGGGCAGAGGGATCATTAAGCATTTCGAAACGCTGAAAATCTACCGGATATCAGCGTAATTAGCGTCGTGCAATGACTTGTTCTGCTTGAGTTGAGACGTCGAGTTGTATTCTCAAAAGCGTTGTTTGTTTCGCTGCAAAAGGGACACCTTTCGAGGCTAGTTCTCGCACGATGACACGGCCAACACGAACTTCGACGGTCTCCAACGATCCGAGCGAAGGAGAAACGAACGAAGGGGCCCAAAATGCTCGTAAAAAGCGGCGACGTTGCGGAGCGTGTGAGCCGTGTTTGACGAAGATCAACTGTGATACTTGCAGCAATTGTCTGAATCGACGAACCGGCCATCAAATTTGTAAATTTCGTAAATGTATTGAGCTCAGGAAAAAGGTTTGTTGAGAAATTATACACATTGAATTGACGTATTATATACTCTGGAGTTTGGTTTGTGTTTGGACACAAGGCTAACATTGCTCCTCGCTCAAACATTGAAGTATTTCAACTCCCCCGCATATTATAAAGTTAACGCTGTAGAGACTGCCTCGTTCTTTAAAAATCTTGTATTTTTGCCTCGGACAGTGCATGTATTAAAGCTGTCGACAAAGTCACAGAACGGGGCATGCTACAGCGGTAATTTATGAACTGAACTATTTATATTTTCGCTAGACAACAGAGGTGGCTGTCTCGCCTGAATCGTCTCCAACAACTCGGCAACGGGAAACAGCAAATGAACGCGAATCAAATCAAATAACAACAAAAAGTGATTCGATTGCGGAGACGGTAAGGATTGAATGTGTGCGACTTCTCCCATGTGTTAGTTCTATCAAGAAATACCTCGGCCTGTAAAAAATATTGTCCGGGGTAATTTATGAGTTAAATTTGAACGACGCATTGAAATATAGCACTAATTTATTGGGGGTCATACTGCAATTAATGAGCAGCGATATGCTTTCAGCCTCTGGGCTAAAACCAACTATGATTTTGCGATTTTTAATACACCCTCTATGGACGAGGAAAATTAATATTTCCTTCACAAATTCTTTGCCATGGATGAGATTCCTTTCCCGTGCGTACGCCTCACAAATTATCCTTGCCCTCTCACACGCATGGAATTTTCGTTGGCCAAAAAACGAGCCTAGCTTTTTTACACAGACGCTACTTGTCAATACTTGTCATTTTTTTGAAGCACAAGCCTGGAAAACGTGACAAATGAAAATGTGTGTGAAGGTTTTGAAACGTAGTTGAATAAATATCCCACGTTACATGCTCTGGAAGAGAATTAGGACGTTCTACGGTTTATGAAACCTCAATTTTGCTTTGTTCAAGCTGACCATTTCAACTAGATCACGAACGCAACGTGCTAGAGGAAAAACCATACTCAAAAATATTGTTTGCACGGGAGAACAACTAAGCTCGCGCTACATTAGCATTAGAAGTGGTTAAATTCCGGCTTCCGACGAGCGGAATTAAAGTCGCGATTCGTTTGTTTAATACTGATCCAAATTTTACTCTGCTCTATATATAGATTATAGATTCAACACATTATAGCCTTTAAATTCGATTATACGCGATTGCTATGCTAAATTAGAGTATAAAGTTGAAGTATAAAGTTACAAACATGTTGTCTTTGTTATGCATTTGTATACATTACACTTGTGTATGCAAAATAATTGAATACAATACGAATATTTGAAATTGCAGTGATGCTTTTGCTGCTAACGTAGTTCAGACTGCAGTACTCACCATTTTTACACGAGATCGAATGAATTCGGTCCTCATATTTTCACAATATTCGCCTGTCTGTACGCATGAAATTCTGCATTGAAATTCTACATGAAATTATAAATTGGAGCACTGCTAACCGTACGAGTTTCGTGCGGTTCCGAAGTTGTTCAGAGCCTCGGAGTTTGTTGTTGATTTCTATCTGAATTTTTTGCGTCTTCCTTACAAGATGTAATGATATCATATTTTCACTTGACAGGCGCGCGTGTCTCGGCTTTAGAGGGCAAGCCAGCCTGCCCACAAAATTTATTGAGTGTTGAATTATTTAAAATAGATTTTAAACTGATAGCAGCCTTTTACAAGCCTGTTTACAAGCGTGTCGGTGGATTAAATTTTAATTTAGCAAGACAGAACGACATATAAATACGTCTTTCTTGTCCCCACTTGCATGTATAGCTAAAAAAATTTCAAGGCCACATTGCCCACGCCTCAAACAAACAGTTTGACGTTTAGGCCAGTGAGAATCTATCATAAAAGACGTGTATTTCAAGACCACATTCATAACCCACACTGAGAACCAACAGTTTGAAGTTTAGACTATTGGGAATCTACCACAAAGGACTTGTATTTCAAGACCACTGCCGCCCAAGTCTCGAACCAACAATTTGAAGTTTAGCCTAGTGAGAATCTAGCACAAGAGACGTATATCTCGCTGTCTACGCTGGAGAGCCAACAGTTTGAAGTTTATAGAATCTAGCACAAAAGACGTGTGTTTCAAGCCCTTCAGATTACGTCTTTGTTTCAACCGCTTGGCTAGGTGTCATTTATATTGATATGGCATCTGCATGTGAAATGCTTCGCTTACTATTGTATACAAATACGGGGCTTGCATTGATGAGTTATTTTGTTTGCAGATTACGGTCAACACGCGCGATGAAACAGGCCCAAAAGGTCAAAGTGCTTCGCCAGAATGCCAGCGACAAAAACGAGCTTCGAAAAACAGGAAGACAAGTTCAAAAGGTGAAAAAAAGGCAAAGAACAGCGAGAAGAAAGCGAGAAAACGCGAGGAAGAAATTTTAAGAGCTCAGAAAGCTGCGGAAGGGGAAACACAAGGACAAAGCAAGCAGGAAATACAGAATTCGTCTCCTATTGAGAATACTCAAGCTTCCGAGGTGACCGACTGTCACCCTGCTCAACAAACCAACGCATCTACTGAATCGCTGAAGGCTGGACCTGTTCCACTTTCTTCCGATCCTGAACAGTGGTGTTCCTGCAAAGGTATGGTCATATCTCAAACGTGGCGGTCTAGTGTAGGTAATATTCTACAATAAGCTGCCCTACGTGGTTTGTGTCTGAACTACCCGAAAAAATACAGTGTACAGGGATGCCGGAACGATAAAAAGGCAGGGGGGGGGGCAAACGCACACCAAAGGGCACCTCTATAGACCCCGGTGAAGATATAAACCTACAATTATGTGTTGACTTGCCAATGAAAGCAAACGCACTTAATCAGGTCACATTCAAGATCACACCTCATGATTTTGCCCAAAAAGCATCACTGGAAATGTGATTTATCAGGTAGTATTTT